GAGCTCTCAGTGCAGAGATGCATGGTCACCTGAACACCTGCATATCTCAGATGCTAACGAAATCAGTACTGATTTCAAGAAATGCAGCATTTAGGCCTTTCCCTTTCCATCCTCCCCAACATGAGGTTAGGCATCCACATCCTCTTTATTATAGCAATCTTAAACGCCTGACTTCAAAACTTTCTCCCTGTCTATGAGATAGCTGCTGATAGCAGAAGATACTGGCATTTGCAGATCATAAGTCAAGTGAAAGTCGGGTGAGCTGCCCAGACAGACACCAGATCAGTTTGAGTCATTACCCTTTTCCACCTGCTCTCAACTAGATGGATGAGAAAGGATAACTCATGTTCAAACACCCAAGTCATCTCCGCCCGTCCTTAGAAAATAAACATTTGATGTCAGTGAAGAAAATTAATGGGCAGGTACTTCTGCAACTTCCTTTACCTTCACGCATTTCTCTGAAGTTTTATCAAAAGTAAAGAGAGTGAATAATGAGATTGCAGTTGGCACACGGACTTTTCTGGAGGACACAATGCTCAAGCGTGCTCCGTCAGGGCCAGGCAGCTGTCGAGGTCGGTGTCAGTTCACCTCTGTGAATCACACCCGTGACTGCCACGGCGCGGCTGGGGAAGGGACAAGCCCTTTGCTGGCCACCCTGTAGGAGGAGAGGGCAAGGGCGGCTTTGCCTTCAGAGGTGCTGCAGGTGAGCTCTAAATATGGTGTGTGCATGGGGGAGGGAGGCAAGACCAAGCAATAGGTTTAACAGCGGTGGCTTGCAGATCACACCAGGCACGGGCCTGCATCTTTGGGGTCAGAGTGGATGGAAATCTAATCCAAATGCTCTGTCATTCTGGGGGCTCCCACCATAATCCAGAGCTGGCAACATATGACTTCACAGCCTGGGCACATCCTCCTGTCTTCGTCGGCTTCAGGTGACAGATCACGGTCAGGGAGAGGTAAAGCAGCTTCCAGGGGGCTGCACTCACAGCTGAGGCTAGCTGACGTTGTAGGGAAACATTAATGTGAACTCAGCAAAATTTGGTGGGATTCACCACAGAGCTGGGAAATCCCTGCGTTGGGTCATCACGTCCATGCCAGCACGGCCTCACGGCCCCAGCGCTGTAGGCAGCCAGATGATGTGCTGCCCTCCAGCAGGAAACAGGGCCACTGAGTTCATCCCTGGGATGATTTCCAGAGCCACGCCTGGGAGAAGGGAGACAGAGCGGCAGAGAGAAACCTCCCCTCCCCTCCCCTCCCCTCCGCTGTGGCCGCTGAGTCTGCGGTGCTTTAATCCACGAAAGCGGCAGAAGGCCAAAGGGAAAAGAAGTTGGCACCAATACCACGGTGTATGCAGGGTGTAGTCAGATGCTCTGTGAGCCCTGGCTATGCTGAAGTTTTCCAGGGTTAGCGAAAGGACAGGCAGCGCACAAGAAGGATCAGCCTGGTTCCCCCGGCGCTCTTTTCCACGGACAAGGATGGGGCAGCGCTCTGCCAGCGCATCTCCTCCGGCTGCGTGGCTGGCCCTGCGGAAAACAAGGTCTGGCTCAGGACAGACACCTGCGAAACACTCCAGCTGCCTAATCTGTTAGGCTCGCCAGCCTTTGACGATGTCCTCTTTGGTCTCGGATGGGCAAGACAGACCGCAGCTTGCAGCCGCAGCCAGGAAGGGGGCTG